ATTGTCCATATCGTCGTTCTCGGAATACGGTAAACAACAGTTAAAATCTCGAACACGCGTGCCACCTTCGTATTTCTCAACAATCTCTTTCATCAGTTCCATTGTAATTCTAGTCATTTTTTTAGTTTTCTGTCGCTTTTCATTTGCCTTTTTGCGATTCGTGATTAATAAAAATAATAAAATTTTACTTACGAATTAAAATCAGAAGAAATTTAACAAAGTTATAAACCGTTGCACCACGAACGTCTAGTCTGGTCTCGTACACCGATAGTGCTACTTGTTCATTGATGACGCGTATAATTGAATTATGTCGTATACCGAACAAAAGTCGTATACCGAGCAAAATTTCTTTCGTCCAAACAGGACGTATTCCGAATTGGACGTATTCTAAAGCAGACGTATACCGAGGTTCCACTGTATATTTATAAAATTACGTTTAAAATTTCTCTAAAGCCTATTTTTTTTTATTATATTTTCCATTTATCATTTTATGTTCTTCAAATTTTCTGTAGTTGTATTTACTTTTGACCGAATTAATGTAAATAGTTACTGTCTTTTACGCTTCTATCGTATTTACATTCTTCAGCTTTTCTTGGTGTAAAAGTAATTTCTTCTAAAGCTGTTTGTTCAGGTTCACTTGACTCTCTTGCTTGAGCACTTGTTGATGGTGTTTGAAAATAATCTGCTTGCACTTTCTGTCTATGTTCTGTGCTCTTCAATAAATAAATATAAATAATATAAAGGAGTTCAATTAAATAAATGTTAATTTCTTAAATACAAGCGAATTGACATAATTAGCGTTTAACATAAATCAGATTAAAATATTTAAAATTTCATCTTTTTTCTGGCATGTTTTGTAAAAAGAAATTTTTTTTGTACATCTACAAAAAAACTTAAAAAAAATTATTAAAAAAAGATACGTANATGGTGTTTGAAGATAGTCTGCTTGCACTTTATTCCCATGTACTGTGCTCTTCAACAAATAAATATAATATAAAGGAGTTCAATTAAATAAATGTTAATTTCTTAAATACAAGCGAATTGACATAATTAGCGTTTAACATAAATCAGATTAAAATATTTAAAATTTCATCTTTTTTCTGGCATGTTTTGTAAAAAGAAATTTTTTTTGTACATCTACAAAAAAACTTAAAAAAAATTATTAAAAAAACTTACGTAAAAATTACGTATTTAAAAATAATAACTACGATTAAATTTAGAGAAAATGTTTTTAACAATAGATTTCCTTTGAATACAAAGTCGAATATTGATCTAGACCAGCGATTCCCAACCTGTGGTATGCGTACCCCTAGGGGTACGCGATAGGTTGTTTAGGGGTACAGAAAAAAGTTAGTTACTATGGCAGAAAAAAATAATATATTATGTATCACAAACTAATAGTATTAAAAAATTATTAGATAAAAAATGATCCTTGCAACAATCACAACTTTATTATATATTTTTTCTTTTAGATTTTTTTCTTTAATTTAAAGTTACAATATGTAAAATTAACAATACGGTTACTCACTAAATTTCTTAAGTGAGGAGTACAATCTAGAGATATGACATGTCACGGGGTACA